GGCCATCCTTGTGGAGTTGCCCTAAGTTTCAGCTCTCCCGAGTCACTTGATACGCTGTCTATTTGAATCATCAAAAGATTTTAAAAATTTACTCGTTTTATGATTAAAATATGGTCCACTATAATATCCTATTTATAAAATATTAACTATACAATCTTTTTTCTTTTAAATAATTAAATAAATTGGAATAAAATATAAAATAATTTATTGGTAAGTTTACTTTTTGGATAATATGTTTATTTATTTTTTGCTTTTTATGTGATCTAATATGTTCGATATTAATAATTTTGCAAAGGAAATTACCGATTCGGTGAACAAAAAGTGTCGTTTTTTCAGCTTCTCCATACCATCATCATCGTCATCTTCGTCTGCATTCAACTTTCAGCTCGTTTGTGCCAGTTTTTCTCGTTTACAGGCTTTTACCTGAAACTATTACCTACTTGCCGGCTGGGTCGGTAGATCCCCTTTCCGTTCAACTTTTTCCGACCCTCTTATATAGCCCGACTAGTTTCCTTCTGCTGCTGCAATCAAGTGTCGACTCGCTGCATCTTATAGTTGCAAGTATGCAGTTTTTTTTAGCTGCTGAGCAGCTGCAGAAAGTTGCTCATCTGATTACATATTTATTCGCAATTTATGCATAATTCTATAACAGTTCAGTTCATTCTCGACTGGCTTTAATCAGCGGAGAAGTAGGAGATAACCTTCCGGAATCGAAGGCATGCCAGAAAACAGGCCCCAGGTAATCCATCAAGGCGTATCATGCTCGACCAACCACCCGAAAACTAAACCCCACCAATCCCCAAGTGTATAAAACTGTCAGGAACTAGCATACACTCACTGCTGCAAGGGAGGCGAAAATAACAAAATAAAACACTTTACCATCCGATACACCACGTTAAAGCCCCTGCTTTAAGACCCACCAGCCAACTATTCGCAAAGCGAAAAAAAAAGATGATGAATCTTTTGTTGTTTGCCCACTCCGAAAGCCTCTAAAAATGTTAACTAAAATACAGGGAGAATATATGGTTTCAGACGAACAGAAGAAAAAAAAAGCGACAAGGAAAGGGAAAGTAAATGTAACCAAGATGAAATGTGCGGAACTCCACCAGCAGCAATAACATGTTGAGCAAAAAATTATGATGGAAATGGGGAGCAGATGGAAATAGGACACGGAAAAGTGGGACAGACTTCGAGAAGCGCAGGCGGAGGGCATTGACAAGCACAAAATGGTCCTGGATCCTGGATCCTGGATGTTTCGCCCAGCATAAAACTAACAAGAAAATTTCGAGGCATGCATTCCATTCGGGGCGTAACGAATCATGTAACTGAGCTCTCACTTCTCGTTTTCTTTAAAATTACGAAAACCAGAAGCAACTGTCGGAAACTAAATGAGAATTGGGGAGAGGAAATGCTTTTAGGCAAATGCTAATCAAACAAGAAACTTTTTGAGAGACTGAAACTGTTGAGACCCAGGGAAGTTAGGCATTAGAAAATGAGTATTTAATCTGTATTAATAATGATTTTGGAAAATGTTCGATAAGTTATTTTGTTCAATGAAAATGGTTAGTAATATTAGTAAGTTTCCGGCTGATCCAAAACAGCTTTTTTACTGAACACTAACGGAATTAATGTATCATCAAAAAAAAGACCGTACCACATGTCAATGTCAACGGGCGATGACAAAGATAAATTCACCCAACACGAGACGAGACGATCTTTCACTTTGCCTGGCCAGTAATGGCCATTAAAAATTTAAATTGGAAAATAGTCTCGAGCTTCTCTTTAAATTTGAAATGTTTTTCTTTTTTTGTGAATTTAATGCGCTGCTAAAAAAAAAAGGAATACACGCCGAGCACAAATGGCGCCAAATTCCGTCCGGCAATCAAGTAAATTCAAAGCAAATTGTCCGCACAATGGCCCAGCCCAAATGTTTGCAACGGTCGGCCATCATGAATGTCCTCGAGGAGACGAAAAGACGAGGATTCGAGGATACGGCAAGCCAACTGCCTAATGCTCATTATTTTGCGCTCGAGAAATTTCTGTCTCGTCACTAATTCATCATTGTTTCGGCACATTAAATCCTTGAACGTCAACGCATTCATTATCTCATCGCATGTGAGCCGAAAGCGGAGGGCAGAGGGTTCTGAGTTCTGAGCCAAAGACTGGGTTTTTGACCAACTCATCGCCGGGCTCACATGCTCAGCTGTCTGTCTGTCATCGGGGCTTCGTCGCCACGGCATGCTTGAGTGATATTAACTGACCGACAATCAGTCAAGGGCAACTGGAGCATCATCGACCAAAGCAAAGTTGGCCAAAAGAGGCTTAGACCAGATTTTCGGCAATCGCGGGAACGGAGACGAAGTGTGGAGCATTCATGTGGCTGGCAAGTTGACCACGAATAGCCCTAGTCATTTTCACAGACATATCCCATTTAACCCTATGTTTGCCTATGTGGTATATTTATGGGGTAACGGAAAAAGAAGGAAAATATCATAAAACGTCTTATTGAATATCCTGCCTCAAAAATAAAATTAATATTTTTAAAAAGAAAAATAAATGGTATCTTTGAAATATTTCTAAAAAAAACTTTCTGTTAATTAACTAAAGGGTTTTGCTGTCCCTTTAAATTAATATTGTAGTTGATAAAGTCTAACTTATTAATTTACCAGAAACTTTTAGTTAGATATTCCTTATCATAACCATCTTAAAACACGCTCTAGCTAGGGTTAATACTCCCCATTTATAGGATGTCTGTGCGGCTTGCATGTTAATTGCTTTCCAGGCTAATCGAATTTTTTGCCTGTCATTATGAGTAATGTGTTTGGGTTGCGCACATAAAGCAATTTGTCGACAAGATTGTGCCGAGTGGCAAATTGCACTAAGCGCCCGACAGTTTAAACTAGTCGGTTTATCCGACATACCGACATAAACAATAAAATCGTTTAAATGTTATCCACCGTTGAATCAGCACAACCATATTAAAAAGCGAAAAAAAATATCCCGACCCAACATAATCGCACATGTCATCTGGCCTTAATTTGCCATGCAAACAAAACATGATTACAAATGGCCAACGAGCATCCAAGGAATAACACCATTTAACGAGATGGCAAAAAAAAACTAACTGATAAACAAAAGTATGCAAATATTTAAAATAGCGAAAGTCAAATCCCCAGCGGCTAAATAATATAACCTACAGAATTCAAGGTTTATATTATTATATTATATTTAAGAATTAATATATAAAATTTTTTATCCTTGGCCTTGGTCGACCGCAATTATTTTATATTTTAACTACATCAAGGACTCGGAATTTCTCGTTGTGTTAAAATAAACTAAACCAAACAAATATTTCTATGAAACTTTATCTAATTTGTATATTTTAATGTCAATGGAATAATGCGTTTCGCAATGCTTTAATTCTATTATTGTTAGGAATGCAAACTGTGTCACGCAGATTAGTCATCGCTTCGTCTCCTTGGGGACGAATATCATCCGTAGTTGTCGTGGCAATAAATTCACGGCATCCGGCGGGGGTCGCCAGAAAAAGTCATATTACATCGCTAATTTATGTAGCACATAAGTTAATTTCTGTTTGTCTGTTATTTGTTGTAATTAGCCGACGTTCAAGCCGTTGTCCCAGGGGCCATTAAAACTCGTCCCTGGCCGCCGGAAAAGCTCCGGCACATAAACAAACGAAAAACTGTTGCTTCCGCTGGCTGCGTGTGAAAAAAGAGGAGAGATATAGTCGTACTTTATGTACGAGAAGAGATGACCGTAGTCCGGGCTAATTATTTTGTCGGTCAGCCAAAGTTCATAGTTCACATGCCACAAACATCGCGCGAAAGGGGCCAAAAGCACCGCCCACTCGTCGCTGGTCCGTTAGTATAATTTTTATTATCAGGCCAAGTAATATAAACTTAATTAATACCCACGTCGGCCGGCGGGTCGGGCATTTGATTCATGGCCTGCATTTGCGGGGCCCGGCTTAAATGCAATAATGGATGTGGCGACGCGGAATAAAAATAAAAGGTAGATGTATAAAAATGTGCAAAGTACGACCGCACAAAGTGTGAAGGCGTAAAGGTCGAGCTATGGGTCAGCCTCCAAAGTCAAGGCATTAACGACGCCGACCCTTTTGTCACCTCCGCTTTCGGAAAAGGGTTTTTTTTTGGTACACTGTAAGAAGTGCTCTGGAAAAACTTTGGTAACGATTTTTAAAAAATGCTTAAAAGATGGGAAAAAATGGGATTATAATTTCGTTTCTAAAAGCTTTGACTTTAAACTTCTTTTAAATACTGAATATTTATATCCCAACATTTAATTTCAACATTTTCACATTTTATACAACTCTCACACCTCCGCATTCAAGTAAGTTAAAATCAAAAAAACAAAATCACTTTTCAAACAATAAAATCCCTGCGGATAGCGAAACAAAATCTATTATTTTAAGTTCTTCATGTGCTGGCCAACCTGCCCTTCCCCGAATCGAATCCCCCATTCATCCGCCCGCGTGGCAGGTTCGCACTTATCAACAGCTTACCGAATAATACCAATGGAATCGCTTCCCGTTTTGGTTGCATTCAGTGATGGCTAAAAAGCGGAACTATAGCCATGGCTTTTATTTGATTTATGACCAATGTAATATAATTCTAAAAAAATATACTACAAATATTTCAGCCTTTTACATTTTTGGTTAAAATAAATAAAGATACAAAATTAAGTTGAAAAATTAAAGATCTACCCTAATAAAGTATACAAATATAATTTAAATATATTAGTAATAAAACGTATTTATATTAAAAAAAATTGTTATACGATTTTTCAAGTACTAAAAAAGTATTTCATAAAAACAATTATATAGTCACTATGTGTAAATACAAAAAGTATTTAATTATTAGACAAGCTTATAGCTGAACTATAAGATAATGTTACTATATTTATTATACCTGATTTTCTCTTAATAACACTGAGTTGCACTGGTTGTATTGTCGTTGCAGGAATGGCGCCCGTGCCCGCGGAGGGATTGCACCTGTCCAACCTCTCCGTTCCGCGCATTATCGACGTGGCCCAGAAGGCGAAGCTCTTCTGCAGCTACGCGATGGGCAATCGGACCCTGAACTCCGTCAAATGGTACAAGGATGGCCTCGAGTTTTTCAGGTGAGCCAACCAACCGGCTGTGGCCGTAGAGCAAATAAAATTGGTCTATCCGCCCCGAACACGGAACGTCGAACTCCGAACCCCCGAAACCCCGACCATAAAAATATTTTTCGGCATTCAGTTTGAAATAATAAAATGTCGCCAGGGAGCCCCGCAGATTGGGAGTTGCGAAATGTGCCGGCGCATTCATGCAGATTTTATGGCGCAAATTGAAAACGTCATGAAACTGCAACACTGTCCGCAACAAAGTAAAGTCCCCGTTCCCAAAAAAAAAAAATAAAAACAAAATAATGGAAGTGGGCTGGGTCGCTTGAAAGTGTCGCAACTAATTTAAATGCTTAATTGAAATGGATTTTTATGGCCCGCCTGCAATTGCGGCCAGGTGACGCTGCCATATCGGGTCCAAATATGTGCGAAGAGGGCTTTTTATTTAACTGGCTTAATTGTTGCACATTGCCGCATATATCCCATATATACCATATATCCCAGAACGTGAAGAACCGGCGACCGTAGCCCAGATCCATGCTATCCATGCTCTCCATCCGGGACTTAATCGAGCGTGAAATTTTTAACAAAGGTGTGTGTTTGGGGCATTACAATTCTTTTTTAATGTTTTGGTTATTGATTTTTAAAGCCCGCTACAAATATGGTGATGTCAGGCAGCGAAAAAATATTATTTATGCCAAATATCAGAACCATTTACGGTTTATGGGCTTTGCCAAATGGTCGGACACGCCCACATGGGCAAAAACACTTGCATTTATACAACTCATAATCTGTTCTCGAAAAAACTTAAATGTTTATTTGTATTTTTACAAAATAAATGTCTACAGGTTGGAGGATTTGTGAGGAACCAGTCCTTGCTTAAATTAACTATTATTATTTATTTTTTTAAAAAGCAATGTCAATTAAATAAAAAAATAAATAAATTAAAGTTTTTAATAACATTGCTCCCGTAATAAATTTTCAACTTTATTTAAGCTTAATCAATTCTTTAGATATTTACTAATTCAAAGTATATTTATTGCTAGAATTTAGATTTATTTCTTTATAGCTTAGTGCACTTTCCCAACCACGCCCCCCGGCAAAAAGACTCCATGTAAATTCGAAGCGTTTTGGCGACCACATTCGATTGGCATGCCCAGTTCCAAATTATTGTTTTTGACATATTCGCGAGGGGCGTGGCAGTTCAGGACAGTTGTGGCAGATGGGGGCGGATTCTGGGGATGCCTTCCCAGTAATTTACTGCCGTAGGCAGTTGGCTTTTATCAATTACGCTTTTGTGTGAACGTTTTGATTGTGCGGTCTGCACTCGGCTTCAATTATTCATGTGCATTTGACACTGCGGTTGCTTCCATCTGTAACAAAAAACGCCACAAAAGATACACGCATTTCGAGTGTAATTCTGAATTTGTTCGGCCGTGCCTTTCTATTTGTTAAATTAAGTGTTTACGAACAACAAATCGACCTAACAATCCTAACAAAGCCCTCAGTAAGAAACCGTACAAAAAAAAGGTTTTAATTGCGGTTTTTATAATTAATATTGCACGGACCACTTGTTCATATACTGCGCAAATAAAATAAACTAGTTCAAATTTGATAATAGCTCTTGAAGAATATATAATCGCTTAAAATCTCCTGTGAAACTTTTAGATAGGTAATAAAAAATAAATAATATAACTTAAATATTGTTAATCATTTTCTAGTGAATTAAATCTATGTCATGTCATGTTATTTAAATTTGAATCCAACCATCATTGTTGTCTAAGTTTTACTAAAGAATCTTATGGAATACTGATTGCCCTAAGCTCAATATTAAAATGCCGATGTATTAAATTCCCTTCAGATTATTTCTCATCTCTCAGCACATTTCCGATTCGAAGCGATTCAAAACGATTTTCCCCAATCGCCACGCTAATTGCTGTAATCAAATGCAACATTCCCTACATGCATATGTATATGAATGGTATTTGAATTCGCATTCGAATTTGAATTTTATTTTAGCTTTGAAGAGAATGCCGGGCTGAGTGGAAATGCATATTATTCATAATAAAATCGACAGCCCGGCCAAAAAGTAGATACAATTCGAGGAGAGCTGCAGATGCAGCTGAAACTGAAATGGAAACCAAAAAATATTTCTTTTTTAGCATGATTCGCTCATCAATATTTCATGGTTTCGGTTTTGCGCAGCACTCGAACTCAAGCAGCAGACTTCCGTTCTCTCCCTCTCTTTCTAACGCTGTGTTGCCATCTCTTTCTTTGCAGATACTCGCCACTAACGCCGCCGACAACAAATTGGTTTCCCGTTAAAGGTGTCACCATCGCCGACGGTTCGCCGCATTGCAATCAATTCATCTGCAACGTGGAGCTGGAGAAGCTCAGCGCCCACTCTTCGGGGCAATACAGGTGCGAGGTGTCCGGCGATGCGCCCGAGTTCAAGCTGATCGATCAGACGGCCAATATGACAGTCGGAGGTAGGTCCACAAATGATCCCCTGCCAGTGCCCCTGGCCTCACACAGTGGGCAAAGACACTACAAGACCCCAATAAAAACTAAACAAGCAGATACTGGTTCTTACTCAAAGAATCTAAAAAAAAAAAAGATTTAACCTTTTTCTCAATTTAGACTCAAAAATAAACCAAATTTTACCAAAACAAATTATGAATTTTCAGACTGTGGAATGCCCTTTGAAAATATATGTTTTTTAGGCCAGGATCCAATAAAAAAACCAATTTATTAAATTAGTAATATCAAATTAAAGTAAAGCCTTTTATAATATTTAATATTTTATAATATCCGTTATCCCTTTAATATAACACAACCAACCTAAATATCTGCTTTAAATCGCACACACAAACAACCTCCATTGTCCAATAGCCCTTTCTCTAAACTGTGTAATTTTTGTAGCTGTCTTTGATTTATGTTTTGCAACAGAAAGACAACAAATTATGTGCAATTTTGCAAACACTTAATAAAATTATAAATGGTCCTTGCACGGCCACCAGAATTCGGTGTCGGGAGTTCAGGCGGCAACTCCTTTCCATTTATCAATGCCACACCGGCGGAGTGTTTTCCGGGCGGATTGCGGAGGGAATCACGGATTACAGGATACGGATATATGGGGGTGGGGCAATGTACGGGGCAGGAGGATGTAGGGTCGCATGGCCGCGGGGTCGCAGGGTCGCGGGGTCGCGAACCTAGGCCAGTAGGCAGTTCAGAAGGGCGTCGCATAAACGCTGGAAAATTGTGACACGCGTCAGCCATTTGTATGAGTAATGATTGTTAATAAATCCCGACCATCTCCCATCAGCCCAAAACGTTCAGCCTGCCTGTACAGTGAACACCCCAACCGAACGCCCCGCTGCGCCACCTGCCGCTCTAGTGAACAAATTCAACTCAATTGTGAGTTTTGTACGAATCAATTTATAATCTACAATGCGCGGTCGTTTGCCGTTGTCACGTGCTGGGCCTACACAACAACAATAGCTACACGGCTAGAGAAATGGCACAAAATACAACAAATATACCAAATAGCAGGACCAACTCGTTTGCGGCACTTGTAGTTGGGTTTGTTAACGTCAACGCCGCACCGCCGAACCACCGCACCACCGAAAGCCGCTGGCAACGCATCGCCCACCATTTTGATTTCGCTTTGATTGGCAGCGTACATGACGATGATTCCGCCCAGCACCCAACACTCTCGACTACACTGAAAGAATTTCACATTTTCAAATACTTTTTTCAAATCTTCTTCAGATTAAATTAAGTTTTTTTTAATAAAAAGTGGTTCTTCGCTTTGCAGAAAGTGTAGAATAGAAATAAAATTAGTCGATTCCCAGTTTTTGTAATTTTAACTTGTCTAAAAAGTATACAAATAATTTTTAAAATATTTTAACTGAGTTCCATTTATAGTTGTTAATAGTGGTGCCTTTTTTTTTACTTATATCTAAACAGGTACTCAACATTGCAAAGATTTAATTTTTTTTGTTGTACATGAATCTAAGAGTTTAAGATATTCCAGCTTTTTTTGTTGCATATGAAACTTAGAATTTTAGATATATTTTCTGGGTGTAACAATGCCCCTTTTTCCCCCTTTTTCTGTGTGGTTGATTGCGGCCAGGAGGAAGATCCGTCAGGCTGGCAGGCAGTCGGCAGTCAGTCAGACTTTCGGTCGCTGGGCTGGCTCTACTTTGAAATTCAAATCAATTGATTTCGGTCCAAATGGAAATGGCCTGCTTATGTCTTTTGTTTCTAGTTTCTATGCGGCTCAAAATGATTTATTTGTCGCAATTTCGCCGCTCAGCGATTTGTCTCCTTTTGTAGCCGGCAATACTCCGTACATAGATGGTAACTGGATGGCCCGGGGCGTCGAGCTACGAGCTTTGAGTGGGTTTGCTTTTGGGTTCGGTTTTGTGGGCGTCTTATTTATTGACGTTACTTTAAGAGATATTGATTTGCATAATGCGCACTTAGGCATTTGTTTACGCGTAACAATCAAATTTGAATTCGCATTTTCGTATTTGTATTGCGTCTTTAATTGGATGTTCGGCAGAGGGCAGACTGTTTGTGTGCTCGCTATTTGCATGTCAATTTGACTTTTATCTATTCGGCGTACTTAAATAGACAAAGTAAGCCATGCTCAAGTGGTTGTACATGGAAATCCCAGTGGCTAGATTAAGTGCCAGTCTGCAGGACGAGCTTACTGGAAACGTGGAGGGTTTTCCTTTCGCTCCCCCATTCGCCCCCTCACCTGATGATAGGGTTTCCCTTGCCTTTTGCCACAATTGTAGATTCTCGATTATTAGTTGGCAATTATTTATGGTTTCGTGATTTATGGTGATTGATTGGGAATTGGGAGATATTGAAATAAGTGCAGCAGCTCAAGTGCATAAACTCAATCGATTCGAAATGATTATTTATTTGACCTTTCAAATAAGTAGAGATATTATAAGTTTTTGAATTTTGGATTGCTAAGTGTTTGTTATAAAATATATTGTTATAAATATTATTTAAAATGTATTTAAAATTACCTGATTTATATATTTTTTAAAGTTTTTTATTGCAATACTTTGGACTGAAACTCTTCATATTTTCTTCCACTATTTTCCCGAATCCCCTGCTCTTTTCTACTCCAGTTTAGGTCCACAATATACGCAATTCAAATAAAACCTTTGCGAGATAATAAAAGGAAGAGCAGACCATATAATCACAGTGGCTGCATTGTCCCACGAGCGATGAGTGCCTTTGGCATATGCCAGCGTCAGTGGCCAGTTGGTTTCGTCATTTTAATTTATATACATATAAACCCAGAGAATGAACTGGGCAACAACAACAGCAAAAAATAAATACAATGCCACGAGGGGCAAGAGCCAAAACAAAATAAAGCCAACCAGCCATGGCATCAAACGAGATAGCGGCAAACTTTAAAGTCCTCTTTGGGCAGAACAATGTGTCCGTGTGCGGGGAAAGCAGGGAAATGCGGGAAAAGCGGGGAAAGTGTTCGGAAAAGTGTGGTTAAAGGGGGAATTGGATGCACGTAGTTTTAGCTGGTGTCGCCTGTTTTTTGTTTCAATGAAGGCGAAGCTGTTGACAGACCAACAATCGACTTGGGAATTTTGTCACTAAAGTGCCATCGCCATCGTAACCACCTTAAAAACTTTGTCACAACAACATCGGCCCGAGAGCACTCTCTCTCGATTTTCAAACAGCCATCACCCAGGACGCTTTGAGGATGCCCAGAAACGGAAACAGGACCAGGGACACACAGGGATTCAGGGATCCACGGAAACAAACGGGAGACGCACAGGAGAACAGGATCAGGCCCGGGGGTTCGGTTTGAGGTTTGCTTTAAACTTTTGCCTGGCAAATATTTTGTCGCTTAGCTGCGTGCCGTGTGTCATCACACTGATTAACTTTGCCAAGTTTGCACAGCTCACCAGTGGGCCGGGAAATGCCAGGATACGCCGGGATACGGCAGGACATCCCGGTCCACATACACTGACCATAAAACGGCAACTGAGCCGCACTTAATTACTTCGGAGATTTGCCGCATTTTTAGGTACAAGCTGCTTACGCTTTTTTTTACGTTTTCCACTGAAAGAAAGGTCATTGTTTTAAATGCGACTAGCAGTACTCTTTTAAAACTAATAAGTTATTTAAAATTAAATATCGTTCAAATAAATATTTAGTAGCACAAAAAAATTAAAAATTATATATAAATTAAACAAGTATACAATGATGTAGTATGGAAATTTAAAATCTTTTATAAATCATATAGTTCAGTTTTTAATTTTTAATGCACACCTTTAATTGAAGGAAAATATTTCGGCTATACAAGTAACCTTTGAATTAATCCATTTTAAAATATTAAGTCTCGACGATTTTTTTTCATTTTTAAATGTCAATCCTTAAGTCTCTTTTGGTATTTTAATGCGGGGTTCATCATTCGAGGTTAGATTGCCCTTTAAAGTAAACACACTCTCCAAAATTGTTACACCTGTCCAGACTGGAAATCCTCAGCTTGTTTTTTTGGCCCGTTTAGCTTCGTTTAGCATTCCAACAACACAATTTTTGCACCCCAAAAACTGACTTTCCTTTGTATTTTTTGGTTTTCAGAGGGGCGGTTTTCCCTCTTCTCCGGTGTGTGTGTATTTTTTCAATCTTGTTTCTGGTGGTTTACTAGTACTTGGGTATACTACATTGCCATTTTTGGTTTATTTACCCTAGTTGATTGCTTTGTTTTCGTTGAATTTTCATTTTTGCTGCTTTTGTTTCGCCCGCAATGCAAGTCACACAATTGGGGGCGGCAAATGGGGCAAAGGGGGCGTGCCACCAGGCACAACATGGCCGCAATCATCAACTTCAACTCCGGATTCTGTCCGTCAGTCCCGTCCCCCAGTCCTCGGTCCCTCCGACCCGTAAGTTGTACTTGAAACAGGTCAGAAACTTTCCACCAAAGTGGTTTGTATTAAGTCAATTAAAAAGTTTACAGTCCTGCTGACTGCCTGACTTCTGATTCCCACCCTCCTACACCCCCCTTGATTTTCCCACCCCACCCACTCCCGCCGTCCATTGTCTCAGGAGGCCTTGGAGGTCCTTAGCATATTTCACAAATTTCCCACAACAACATTTATTTGGATGCGGGATTTGTTGTTGCCTTTGCGGTAATGGGAAGAGGAAGCGGAAAGAAAAGGGGGTCCTTCGCCATAAACTAAATTACGCTTGTTTTCATCAAAAAACTTTGTCCTGTGCAATTATTTGTTAAGATTAATTAACACTTCAAATAAATATTTGGTGTTGGCGTGTCGGTAATTGTCTAAGAGCCGGCTATACTTTGCCGCATAGCATGCATTTCTGCAGGAACTAAGCTTGGATTTCATTCCGACTTTGGTCGCTCTAATTGGGATAAGTTTGGTGCCCGAATAGCATTATGCATTTGCCGGCAGAGTTGGATACCAAAAATGTACTACGGCCAACGTAGAAATAAAATGAAACTTTATCCTCTTGTGGCAAATGGAAAACGGATGACCTTTAATTTCTGGTGGATTAAAATCATTAGGAAAAATGTTTATACTTTCTAAATTATTTTTGTTTCATTTATAATTTAAATGCTAAATTTCTTTTGAATACATTTCAGTGCTACCCAAATTTGATCCCTATATATCGGGCGTGCGGCATGCCTACAAATATCACGACTATCTGGTGGCCAACTGCAGTTCAGAGATGTCCAGTCCGATGGCCAAATTGATGTGGTACATAAACAACAAAACGGTAAGTGAAGGAAAACTAATTCAATAAAAAAAGAAATACAATTAAGATAAAAAAAATAATTGTATAGTTTTTATATGAGTAAATATTATCTTTAGACAATTGACTTTAAATGTTCATATCCAGCAATAGTGAATTGAAATATTTTAACTTTTATTAATTAGCTTTCTCATATTTATTTTTCTTTGTTAAATATTTTACTGTGCCTAAAATAATTCCGAGTGTATCAAGGTGACTTCATTGCCTGTTTGGACTGTGTGTTAGGTCAGTCAGTCAGTCATCTCGTCCTGGTCATCGAACTTGTCCAAATGTGTAGTAGACAGCACCACGAAAGTGAAGGATTGGCATACACACTCGGATGCTGTTACTAAAATTAATATAAGATGTAGCCGGCAGCAACGGTCTGGAGCCTCGGGTTGCCTCTTGGTTCTAGACCTACGCTCACTAAGTTATGGGAAACCTAGTGTATAGAAAGATTCGGTTTCGTGCACTTCTAGCATTGCTCTGTGCTAAGCTCGTCGGATTGTCGTGGGTCTTCCTCGTCTTTTCCATAACGCGTGCTGTACTACGTGAAAAAGTTTTAAGTGCACTAAACGGTATCTACAAGGCTCAACAAAAATGAATGGGTGTACACGGACTATGGGTACACGGACGGACATTGTAGGCAAACGCAGATCACGAAATACTGGAAGTTAGGGTGGCTTGATGTTATTCGCCCCCTTTCTGTACCCTCCCTACCATGATAACGCGTGAGATATTGTTGACGGTTATCCCTTATTCAATGTTTATTGGTTCATTACATTTTCAATTCATATAGCTCCAGCATTGTGTGTTCAATCACGAACCTAGATTTACAAAACTATTCAAACATAGTTGAAATATTTACCATAATTAACAAAAGATCATTAAATTCAATCATAATTTCAATACAACTTCAATTCTCTCTTTTCAATACCAAACTCAATTCCGAATTACAGATAATTGCTACACTGACTTCATAACCTTCCGTCTAATATGCACACACAATAATAATACCATTCAAATATATCGGTAAAAGTCAGGAAATCAATATAGTGGTTTAAAGATCTCACTTACGCAAAAACTCCGGCGATGCAGGTTCGTTGGGCCCATCGAAGACGCTGTGCTAGGGTGCTTTTAGACAAATTTACATATTAATTTCTGACGAGATTAATTGCGTGGCTTACACGGGTGGTCATTGTCAGAAGACTAATGAGAATTTCTACTGAATCAATACAAAGGTACGCTACGTAAGCAAGTACCGCAAATTTACTCTACAAAAACGTGAAGCTTGACTTTAAAATAGGCAAACACTAATCTAGCAAACGTCGCAGAGAGTGATTCCCATCCTCGATCTACTACTGCTTCTCCTGTGCGGTTCCTGATCAGCTTACTACACACGAAGGGATCTGCGTCTTCGCATGTCAGACAACAGGTCTGTTCCTCTGGGTTGTCCTTCCTTTAAATCATCAGCCTTTTGCGAGGCTTATTCCATCGGCAAGCCGCACGTGGCCAGTACGGGTGAAGTGCCGAGTTGCTGCGCTACGACTCGCCTTCCAAAATATCGGCTCTATGGGCTAGCCAGAGCTGGGTGCTTCGTTGCCGCGCGTGGCGCGTGTTGGTGGGGCGATGTAGGCGCGTAGCAGGTGTCACATCCGGTAGTCGCTCACTTCCTCATCCGATCACCTTCCAGAAGATCGCTCGATGGTCAAACCAGAGCTGCGTGCTTACATGCCGCGCGTGGCGCGGGTTGGTGAGGTGATCATCAATGGTTGGAGTGGTGTTAAGTCCTGGTACAATAACCTTCCACGTTGTCGCTCTATGGCTTCGCCAGAGCTGGATAGGTGGATGCCGCGCGTGGCGCGTGCTGGTGAGGTTATGCACTTCTTCAAGTCGTCATTCAGGTGGTTGATCTTTGAGATGATTTTAGGCCGCACGTGGCATGCGGTTGGTGAGGAGCCGAGCTACAGATTTGCGTAGTTGGTGGGCAAACTGCAGCCTCGGTCACCTTCCAGAATACGGGCGCCTTTCGCTGACCAAAGCTGCGCTCCGCGAGACACGTGTCCGCAGGTGGCAACTCCGCCGTGGCAAATTGGCTCCAAAATCTCTCAGAAAATCTCGTCTTGGCCGATGAAATTACAAACGGCGTGATCACGCCGAGCTGGCGCTGATGTAGCCGGGCGGCTTCGACGAAATCTCCTTCCTTTTTCCTATTACGAAAATACACTTTTCTATTTACACTGCCTATACGGTTAAGCTGGGTGCTAATATTTACCAGTAGTTGGGGCTTTAAAACAACAATGATCCTCTCTCAATAAATCACTTCACAAGTTCAAAGGAAAACTAGAACACGTGGTGTATATTTTTCCGTTCTTAGTTTTGAATTTACGATAGTCGTATGTCTGTACTCATTCAGAGTTTGAAAAGAAGTGAACGAGACTTTCGTCGCGTGAAGCTGGCTGTACGCGGCGGCGTTGCCAAACTTCACGTAACGGGATCGTTCCAGATTCCGTTTGCGTTTCTGCCTTCACACGTTTTTCTACGGTGCGCGCGATAGAGAGAGCGCTATGCCGGTGCGCTAGTTGTGCGAGCGGTTCAGCTAGACGATGCTCGATGCTCTTCAGCTATACCCTGCGCTTAGCTTTTGGGCATCTACGAATTTACATGAATAATGACTTTTCTCTACCTCTGAAAACAAATTTATAATTTCGTTTTTCGACTGGCCCCCACACCACAGTTAACTCAGCAAGAGATTGAACTCGCCGAGGGGTTAACTGAAAGAAAAACAAGGGTCAGTAAACACCATATTATCTACGATTCAGGTTCTAATGTCTTTCAAATGGTATACGCCTAAGGACTTATTTGCTTCATTTGCTAACTCGTAATATGTTGGGCTGATCTTCTTTGTTACCGTTGCTTTAATAAAAACAGGTGCGAGTTTGCTATTAAACTTTTTCCCCGCATTACTTTGAGCGAAACTGCGTGCGAATACGGTGTCTCCGATCTTCAGGTGAACGGTTCGGCTGCGCAAGTTATATACCCTAGCATTTGCGGCGTGTGATTCTGCAACCTTCTTTTTAGCCTCCTGACGCACTATTTGCAACATGTCAGCTGTTTTTAGCGGTACATCGTCGGTTAACAAATTCAAATTTCTGAGCAACTCATAATCCTGTCCGTTGGCTATCATGTTCTGACCAAAACAGAGAAAATACGGAGAAAATCCTGTACTTCGGTGTATGCTAGATCTCAAGGATGCGCTTATCGCGTCTATGTTTGTATCCCAATTCGTATGGTCAGTACCGATATAAGCTCTAATTGCAGCTAGTATCGATCTATTCACTCGCTCACTTGCGTTAGCTTGTGGTGAATAAATCGCTGTGCAAATATGCTTGACTCCAAATTTCGTTAGAAAAGCTCTAAAATACCCTGATTTGAATTGCGACCCGTTGTCCGTCAGTATGGACTCTGGTGTGCCGAAGGTATAAAAAACGTGCTTTTCAAGAAAATCACAAATCCTTTCGGAAGTAAATTTCCGCAACGGCTGTAAGAAGTGAAACTTCGAACAATGGTCTACAATTATCAAAAGTCCTATATTTCCTTTCTTGGACCGTGGATATGGGCCAAGAAGATCCATATAAAGCCTCTGAAATGGACGATCAGAAGTTGTGGGTCTCCCCATGGGTGGTCTAAGAACTTTGTTAGGGCTCTTTGTTGACTTGCAAATAGAACAATCTGAGACAAAGCTGCGAATTTGAGTAACCATTCCTGGCCAGAATAAATGACGTCTGAGCTTCTCGATCATTTTGTTCATGCCAATATGTGCGGCATCGGGTGAATTGTGCGCGCGTGTTAAAACTTGGTCGACAAGGTTGATTGGAACCCAAAGTTTCCATGACTCCTCGTCTGGCAACACATCTCCCTTCGCTGGTTCTGTTCTCTTATACACAAAATTATCCGCGACCCTGAGATCCGGAAGCTTTGACTGGTTGTCAAGAATCTGTTTTCTCAGTTCGAGATATTGCTCTGAATTAAACTCTTTTGATGTTAAATCAATAATGGGTCCTCCATCAGCTATGTCAGATACTACTTCTTCGCGACGCGAAAGTGCATCGGCAACAACATTTTCTGATCCACGGCGATGTTTAATCGTGAATGAAAAACCTTGCAGACGAATGGACCATCTGGCTAGACGGCCGGATAAATCCTTTTGTCGCATTAGCCACTGTAGTGAAGCATGATCTGTTATAACACAAAAATCTTGCCCCTCAACGTAGGCTCTGAACTTATTGATGCCTTTGATGACTGCTAAGCACTCTAGTTCGGTGACTGAATAATTTCGCTGTGCCTTCGACAGCTTCTCAGACATGTACGCTATAGGTAATTCGACTCCATCTTCATTCTCTTGCGCTAGAACACAACCAAGCCCATACAGGCTTGCATCGCAAAGCAGTATAAACTGTTTCTTGAAATTCGGCGTCCTCAAGACTGGAGATGAGATGAGTTTGGACTTAAGCTGGGTAAATGCTTCCTCCGCTTCTTCTGTCCAAGTAAGAACTTTGTTTTTCTTGAGCAGGTCGGTTAGTGGAACGGCGATTGCGGCATAGTTATCCACAAAACGTCTGTACCATCCCGCTAGACCAAGAAATCTACGCAACTGTTTGACGGTGGTGGGTGCAGGAAACTTTTCGATCGCGCTTACTTTCTCTGGATCGACTTTTAACTCACCATGACCAATGACAAAACCTAAGTATCTAATTTCAGTCATGCAGAACTTTGATTTGGCTATGTTGATCGTCAGGTTTGCATCACGAAGATAACCTGCGATCTCTTCTAAGAGCTTCATATGCGACTCGAAATCGTCAGACAGAACCAGGAGGTCGTCTAAATAAACAAAGACTCTCGTACGCAATTTTGCCGGAATAACCAAATCCATTAATCTACACAAAGTTTGGGCAGCATTACATAGACCAAAGGGCATCACCTTA